TAAATGCGACCCGCTACCAGGTACAGGTGAGGGCATGTTACCTGTAACCTGATGTTTTCGTGAATGTGGCAGTGCCAAGGCAATTTAGCAGTGAATGCTTGAGAAGGCTCTCCCGAATGATGGAAGGATCGAAAAGTGCACTCAAATAATGGCTAGCTAAGAGCCGCGAAAAACTGCCAGTTGCTACAGCATCGGTGAGTGACAAAGGAACACATGTGCTCAAAGAACTAAATTAACACTGAGGTCATCTCGAACACAAATTTAAGTACCTCAGAAATTTTAAAAAATTTCCCGCGATTTGAAGCATGCAATTCTGACAGCTGCTATTTCATCGCCGACACTGATGCAGCAACCGGAACTATAGCCTGGTCCTGAGCGCACCGCATCAGCGTTTCTCTAGGAATGCATGTGGTCGCCTCCTACTCTTCCCTGAACACTGACTGAAGATCGTGAAAAAAGAAAACTTGAAACCTGAAGAGGGAACATATCACGGAGAGTATCCACGAAAATATCCACTACTTCCACATCACTTTTTTCGTTCACTAAATTCACCGAATCGCCGCATACATAAGACATCAGAACGTAATGGGGATTTTTGCTTCTCTGCAAATTTAGCCAAATCAGCCCGTCCCGCAAATGACTGCAAATAAAGTGAAACAGCAACAGCTCCTGATGAAGTAACGTATTCGGCTTTCACAGAAGGAAACTTATCCATCAGTCTGCTCGGTATCTTTCCGCTCATATAAAGCCAGAGAATCGGCGACTCATATTTCCTACCGGAAAGTAGACATCAATACATATACTGTGAATACTTACGCGACTCGAAAAATCATAGAACATATTGAAGAGCCCTCGTTCACTGGCATTCTTCGGGACATGACCAAAATAATCCAATGTGCCGTCACTTTTCAAAATTGAGGACCAGAAACGCCGTGGAAATTTCACTGCCACCTTTAGAAAACATAATAAGAAAAATAATTCTTCAAAACATGATTTGCCGGTTTTGTATATTTTGACTTTCTAAAGCTGGAATTTTGAGAATCCAGAAAACACGCTTTGGCCAGCTATCATGGTGCTCCTTCTCATGAAAACAGTAACCTTTCCGTGGATGCCGCAACTGAGGCTGCCTCAGCCAATAGCAGCCTTCAGGCCTATCATTCGTCTACCAATTTGGTTTCTTCACTCTTACGGGTGAAAATAATTCGCTTTTATTGCATGATTTATCTTCGAGTTCCCTCAGCGCCCATCGATGAATCCGAGCTACCGCCACCACCCAAGATGCACAAGCAATTAACGCTACAGGAATTTCCATAACTAACTGACTTCAAGTGCAAACGTGCACAAAATGATCTGGTAGCTTCCGGCTCTCCAGACGATCATTAAAAAAATTATCAAATTCCTCCATTCTTCTTTTTGCTGTAAAAATGCTCATATGAACGACCTTTTCAATCAAGCCTGCACCCAGATGCTTCAGAGCTGCCGATTTTGTCGCTGGTAAAGCCGGAGCGAATGTAATCAGCCCTTTTTGTAAGACCGCCAAAGGGATCGTTATTAGAACCTGAAATCGAAATGACTGTAAATTGCACCTATTTGCCTTCACTTTTCGAAACTTTTCTTTCTTGGCAAAAAAACAGAATACTTCTTATTGCGCTTGATGATACGATGATCTAAAGCAAATAAACTATCAAAGAAAACATCGAAAGACCTCACGCATATTGAAAAGACACTGTGCCATATTTTATCCGGCTAAGCACGAAAGGTACAAATGCCTGTCTCTCTAACTAGCCAGCAATACTGCA